CCACTCTAAGCAGGATTCCACCCTTTCCCTATGTAGCTCTAATGAGAATATTCTGGAAGAGGTTTTTGTCATTTTCTAGCTCCAAGACCACTAGTGTAACTCACAGATTCTGATGAATTATTCCTAAATTTTGCAGAACATGCTAACTTTTAAAAACCTTTAAATCTCCTGAATCTGTCTTCTTCAACTATGTGTTTAGATAGATGGTGCTTCCCTCCCTTCTCTTTTCTTAAAACCATGAATGTCCCTCGGATACCGTATTTTTCCATTTATAAGACAACCCAATGTATAACGCCTTTTCTAACCCCAAATTAGAAAATTTGATCCTTGCTTTTCCCTTCCTTTTGCTATGCCACAGAGCTTAGGAAGTGGGTAACGCAGCCATGAAAGGGCTGCACAATCGCAGCCCTTTGATCCTGAAGCAGCCATGAAAGGGCTTATATAGTTATCATGCAGCCCTTTGACAGCTGCTTTACCCAAAGGGAGCCTTTCCTTCCTTTTTGCTAAGCCCCGTGGCTTCGCAAAAGGCAGGGAAAGCAGCTGCCTTCCGTGTATAAAACGATCCTCAATTTTTTGTCTAATTATTTAAGGAAAAATGTTGTTTTGTACATGGAACAATATGGTATGTTCCATTCTTTTGTTAAAAAGATTGACACAACAAAGGGTGTATCTCTTTAATTTCCCCCCTTTCTTCCACATAGGCCAAAGCCTTTGAATTGAGCTACCTCGAGAAGGTTCCAGAGGTTAAAGATACAGTGCACAAGCAGTCTCTTCTACATCATGTGTGTACAATAGTAGTGGAAAAATTCCCAGACAGCACAGATCTTTATTCTGAGATCGGGGCCATCACTCGATCAGCAAAGGTACGTATTTTGCTTTTTTTTTAAAAAAAATGTCCTTTCAATACATCAAAAGGAGTCTTTGTTTATATTACTCTGTAAAGAACAGGAATGGTAAAAGTACTTCACTGCAATTTTGCTTCCATATCAGATTTCTCTACTTGTATATTGTGTGCTTAATAATGAAGGCTTTTAATCCGCCATGTCATTCATTCAGAATTTTTAGGGTCCTGAATATTTTTAATTTCTTTTTCCCCCTGTAAATAGCTTTCTCATCAAGATTTCTAATAGGTAGCTGCTTGTTGTTTATATTTATCACTAATATGTCACTTAAAAAAACTTTTATAAAGTTGTAAAACAATTAACAGAACTAGTATTTCCTAAAACAATCTGCTCAAGAAGCAGTTGGAATCCAGATGTCCATAGTTACTATTTTATGTGCAGGAATTGTGTCTCTGTTGACCTGGTAAGTTGATACCTGTCTGTCCTCCTGGTTCACAGAGAAGCCAGACAAGGCACAGGAGCCTGGGTGATGGCTTGACTTCATTTCCTCAGGCTGTAAGATCAGCATTGTGACATCACCTGTACACCAACATCAACTGCCAATATGGGTGTACCTCGGTTTACAAATGTAATGCGTTCTCCGGGACGTAACATAGTGCAGAAAATTTGTAGACCGAAACGTGGATTGCCATAGGAACAGGGGCGGCACTATAAACCTCCAGGCACAATGCATCCTGGGGAAACTTCCTTCGTATAGCGAAAAAAAAACCATAAACCGGGGCATTATTTTCATTGGATTTTCCTTCGTAAACTGAAAATTATGTTAGCTGAGGCGTTCGTAAACCGAGGCACCACTGTAGTATAAATGATATAAATAAGTTTAGAAGAGAAAGAAGAAACATGCCTTATTGGGCAACAGGTGGGAACCTAGTAATGCAGCCAGCCCTTCATTAGTTAATGAGACAATTAATTAAACAATTTAATTCATGTGTACAGGATTCTGGCTAGTCCCAGTATTTTAAAAGTATGTCATGAAAATGAGAAATGCATTTAGTATGAGGTTCCTGTGCACTGTTCAGTGTGACAATGCAAGGAAACAAATCACTGCAAAGCAAATCACAAACTAGCTTCAAACCCAGCCCCTAGTTGGGCCTTCAGAAAGCATACAGAGTCCATAAACATTGAAGGGAGTGTGCTAGTCCTGCCCCCTCCATCATCAGATGCCTTTTGTAGGAACGCTACCCAAGTAGAAGCAGCTTCTCCCTCTTCAGACAGTCACATTTCTGTGTTCTACACTATAACCAAGGGGCTAACAGGCTTTCCTCAATGCAGAGGGGAAAACATACGTCTTTAATGGGAAAGAATATAGGGCTTTAGTTTATTCCATCTGTAGATTTCAGAAGAGAGCAGGAGGGGTCAACACCACTAATGTCATTACATGAACCAGTGGTGGAAAGTTCTTGCTATGCCTCTAAATTTTAAAGGAATTTTTTAGACAGAATGTCAAAATTATAAAATATAACTAATAGTGAGTTGCTTAATAAAATCACTACTGGAAATACATGAGACTTAAAAGGAATGCCTATTCAGAAGTCATCTCTTTGGGAGATACCGTGCTTTGTATACTGTAAGGCTTGGTCCTTGTGATTTAATTGGGTGAAAGAATAGTTAGTGCCAGGTACGGTTTTCTTGCATTGCCATCTTCTGCCTCTCCAACCATATAGGTTAAAATGAAAATATCTGAGTCAGTATTTGAGGAGTCTCTTCAAAAACAACAGGATGGCTTATCTGCTTAGCAGAATAGACTGAACTGTAGGTTTGGCAGTGTCTCAGTAGCAGTGGATGGAGGCAGACAACAGCTATACTGTAAATACTTTTGTTAGTGTGAGGAAAAACTGAGATTGTGTTGAAAGGAAAAGTAGTTTTGAGATAATGAGACTGAGTTTGGGTACTGTTTGTTTTAGACTTTAAGTTCCTCTGAGAAATACTTCTCAGTTCTATCTTTGCACAATTAACTGTTTACATTCTGTCTAACCTTGCTTAGTAGAACTCTGTACATGTATGTGTCTGCTGCAGCTTTTTTTGTATGTTTAGAATTAGAAATGGTTTGCTGCAGCAAACTTTAGTCCCCCTTCTCATGACTGCCACTAATCAAAGTGTTTGAAGTTGGAAGCAGCCTAGTCTGCTAAATGGGACCAAGTCCAAAAGTATGAGAAATCTTATTTAAGGAAAATTGGCATAAATAAACTCTAAATGTTTCATTACAGTTTGGACTCTGTGTGACCTATATGTCTCTTCCAGAGAAGTTAAACAACAGAGGCTAAAATATTTCTTCTGTGTCTCTGTGTACTTTTTTCTGCCTTGAATTCAGTGAGAATAAAAATTAAGTTCATTTGGAAGATGAGGAATTCTCAGATGATAAGATGAGTCTATCAGAGAAGAACTCTATGAAGGTTTTTGGAAGTATTAGTAAAGCAGTGGTGGCAGAACAACACTCTAGGTCCCTTGTCCTTCCATTTTCTGATTCAGAGGCTTCAGCTGGCTTGTCTCCACTTTTGTTGTTGTTGTTCAGTCGTTTAGTCAGGTCTGACTCTTCGTGACCCCATGGACCAGAGCACACCAGGCCCTCCTGTCTTCCATTGCCTCCCGGAGTTTGGTCAAATTAATGTTCGATGACACTGCCCATCCATCTCGTCCTCTGTCATCCCCTTCTCCTCCTGCCCTCACACTTTCCCAACATCAGGGTATTTTCCAAGGAGTCTTCTCTTCTCATGAGATGGCCAAAGTATTGGAGCTTCAGCTTCACGATCTGTCCTTCCAGTGAGCACTCAGGGCTGATTTCCTTCAAAATGGATAGGTTTGTTCTCCTTGCAGTCCAGGGGACTCTCTCAAGAGTCTCCTCCAGCACCACAATTCAAAAGCATCAATTCTTTGGTAGTCAGCCTTCTTTATGGGCCAGCTCTCACTTCCATACATCGCTACTGGAAAAACCATAGCTTTGACTATGCAGACCTTTGTTGTCAAGGTGATGTTTCTGCTTTTTAAGATGCTGTCTAGGTTTGTCATCGCTTTCCTCCCAAGAAGCAGGCGTCTTTTGATTTCGTGGTTGCTGTCACCATCTGCAGTGATCACGGAGCCCAAGAAAGTAAAATCTGTCACTGCCTCTATATCTTCCCCTTCTATTTGCCAGGAGGTGATGGGACCAGTGGCCATGATCTTAGGGGGGTTTTTTTGTTTGTTTTTTGTTTTTTATGTTGAGCTTCAGACCATTATTTGCGCTCTCCTCTTTGACCCTCATTAAGAGGTTCTTTAATTCCTTCTCACTTTCTTCCATCAGAGTGGTATCATCTGTACGTTGGAGGTTGTTGATATTTCTTCCAGCAATCTTAATTCCGGTTTGGGATTCATCCGGTCCTGCCTTTCGCATTATGTACTGTGCATATAAGTTAAATAAGCAGGGAGACAATATATAGCCTTGTTGTACTGCTTTCCCAATTTTGAGCCAATCACTTGTTCCATATCTAGTTCTAACTGTTGCTTCCTGTCCCACACATAGATTTCTCAAGAGGTAGATAAGGTGGTCAGGCACTCCCATTTCTTTAAGGACTTGCCGTAGTTTGTTGTGGTCGACACAGTCAAAGGCTTTTGCATAGTCAATGAAGCAGAAGTACAGTGGTGCCTCGCTAGACAATGATAATCCATTCCACTGAAATTGCTGCTTAGGGAAATCATCTAGCGAAAAGCATTTCCCAATTGGAATACATGGAAACCTGTTTAATTTGTTCCAATGGGGAAGAATCGTCATTATCTAGCGAAGATCGGCCATAGGAAAGCCACTTTGCGAACCACCGATCAGCTTTTTAAATAGCTGTCTTGCAAAGCTTAGGTCCCGAAAACATCCATTTTGCGAGCACGAAGGGAGCTGTCAAAATCATTGTCTAGCGAAAAATGGTTTGCGAAGCAGGGACCAAACATTGTCCAGCGAAATTCCCCCATAGGAATCACTGTTTTGCGAATCGCTATAGCGACTGCAAAAAGTCAATGTCTAGCAAAAAAAACTGTCATGCGGGGTAACTGTCTAGCAAGGCACCACTGTAGATGTTTTTTCTGGAACTCTCTGGCTTTCTCCATAATCCAGCTAATGTTAGCAGTTTGGTCTCTAGTTCCTCTGCCCCTTCGAAATCGAACGTGTACATCAAGCTTATTTCTGCTAGTCATAGTTAAAGTTAACCATAGCTAACCATAGCCGAGTACAGTGGTGCCCCGCATAGCGAGGTTAATCCGTTCCGGATTAACCGTCGCTATGGGGAAACATCGCTATACAGAAAGTAAAAGCCCAGTGGGGCCCAAACTCACAGTTCAGCGAAGTTTCTCCATAGTGCCGCCATTTTCGCGCCCTCGGTAAGTGAGGGCAGGGTGCGAAAACACTGCGCGCTGCCATTTTGGGCGTCCGGCGGCCATTTTGGAACCGCCGATCAGCTGTTTAAAAAATCGCTATGCGAAAATCGGTATGCGAAACGCTTACTGATCGTCGCAAAGCAATTTTTGTCCATTGGAAGCATCGGTATGTGATCGCATTAGCGATCGCAAAATCCGCATTGCTATGCGGATTCTTCGTTAAACGGTGCGCTCGTTATGCGAGGCACCACATCCCAAATAAATGGGTCATGCACAAGCTTGAGCTTGCTACAGTTCTAAGCTAAAGTTTAGCATGAGCTTGCTACAGTTCTAAGCTAAAGTTTTCATGATATACAACTGCAGTCAATATAAGGCAGTTTCATCTTTCAAATATATTTCAACAGCATGTTCAGGACAAAGCAGACAAATTGCAGTTGAGCAGTAATATCACAAGGTTACAATGATTTTGTAGTTATCTCCCCTCCCCCACTCCAGTGCTTATTTTTATTTTGGAGATATCGCACATAATAGCAGACATTGAGTCTCCACCTATGCCTATATGCCACATCTGAGATGTGGCATATAGGCATAGCCAGAGCCAATGGTGGCTGGAGTGGGCAGAG